TGCCATTATAAATGGTTGGATAGGTGAGGTGAAGTGGGTTTAACATCGTGTGGATATTAGCATATGATATTGGGAATGTGTACAGCTGAAGATGCCCAGACTTAGCTGGTTTTATAGTGCTAGCTCACTGGATACCATGCCACAGTGAAGCATGAATACCCCACTCAGACATGGATTTCGTGATCAGTCCTTGTTGTACCCATTAATGCGAAGCGCAGGCATTCCCAAGTACCATATGTTAACATCTTTTGCTGTCGAACCAGCTGACCTTCCGCTTCGTGGGACGCTCTAACTACACCACGGAGGCGGCTATAAATGGTTGGATGGCCCTCTGAATGTTAAACAGTTGTATTGAATATACAATGGAATATTGTCCTTGTATAACTTGTGTATTTGATAGGATGGTAGCATATGGAATGTTGTGCATTGCATCGGTGCCTGGTTAGAAGAGATCCTAAATGCTAGTTGTAGGATTTGTATTATGGTATCTTTATATTGACACTCCATTTCTGGTGTCCCCCGCCGTGATATTGCTGGAATATTGCTAAAAGCGGCGTAAAACTAAACTCAGTCAGTCAGTTATATTGACACTCTCAACAGTTTTGCAGTTATTTGAGGTTTGTAATTGTAGAGTCTAGATCAGACAATTTGGTGATTGACATCATGAGCATCGATCTGCGAAGTTGGGGTACAATGACATGCATCAAACAAGTCAGTGAGTTTAACCACGGGATCCAGAAGACCAGGTCCCAGATCTTAACTTCATTATATGAGAGGTTATTGTTCAGTTTCTATGGTGAAGCTGATGGTGTGTTTATGTACACAGTGTCATTGATCTTGGTATTGCTGACTGTGGCATGAAACACGCTCAGTCCAAAGATTGATATCAGATGCAGTTGTAAAGTATTTTGACTCACTCACTCATGTGCCCCTACAGCAGATAATTAGGCTATCTCCTGGCCCCTAGAAAATGAATGAATTAAAATAATCAGTCAAGTTCAAGTCAGGAATGGCAGGACAAAGTGTCTGAATTGACTCAACTCTAAACTTTTCTTTTTTCTTTTCTTTGTAGATATATATATTTTTCAATAAAGTAACTGTTTTTGTAGGACAAAATGTCAATCTACAGGAATTCCTGCTACGACATGATCATATTATTGATCTTATTGGACCATCAATCATACCATTTTTTGGGGTACATGAGTGTTTGGCCGTCTGCCCACTTGATGCCTACTTGTGTCACCATAGGGACCTTGTCACTTGGCCTGAAGTCACTCGGTGTCCAGCTGGTTATTGCTGAAGTACATTGAGAGTCAACACAGGCAACCAAACAGAACATGAAAACACAGGCCCTACACATCCTGATGGCCGACATCTGTGTTGTATGTACAACACAAGACATGTCTGAGACTGTGGTCTCCCGGTAACCTCACACACCTTGATCAGTTGAACAACAGACCTGGTCAGTGCTGGCAAATACTGGCTTGTGTCAGGACAGTGGGAAGTAAATGCCCCTTCTTACTCAAACATGACACCATTTCAGGTCACCATAGACTTGCAGCGGTCTTGAACACATCAGGGTTGGGAATGGGTAAGAGTGAAAAAAAAAATGAGCCAGGGGTGTTCTGTTGGGAGCTGTAGGTCCCCATGTCAGATCCAAAGCGTGATCAAATCCGCGGAAAATTCTCATCCCTGACAGACAGCAGTTAGACGTGGTCACCAGTAATTTGTGAGAAGCCTGTAGTTGAAGTCACATTGTTAACTGTTATTTCTATCAGATATACATGCTTCTTTGATGAAAATATATTATATATTCAGTATGGTAAGTTTCTAATAGAACTGACCTTTGGAATTGAAACAAATACACTCTTGAGTGATAACATGTTCCTAAGCCCATCAGTATAGTCATGTGATTCAGAGGCTTACGTGAAAAGTGATCTCAGGTTTCCTAGATTCAAATATGACAGGGAAACCCTCAAGGACCCCAGAACCTTCCTTCATGTCTTACAGTGTTATAAGATATTGAGGACAACGTCAGAATGGCGGTATCGGTGCAGAATTACAATAACTGCGACTCATTTCTGGATGGATGCCACGAGCTTGCCACTGAACGGATCCTCACCACACCTGCCTGTGTTGTTTATCAGTAGAACACAAGGGAGGAAATCTGGCTGGTGTGTTTGATGTGTCGTCATCAGGTTGAACACAGCGCTAGAAGGTCCAGCAAGTCTTTGTTGATTCCTGACAGCTTGGCCTGCATGTTTGGTCCATATGACTGTCCACGTGTCCAGGTAGTATTCATTCCTTCTGAAGGTGCTGCTTCCCTTCAACTCATCTCACCTCATCTGGGCTTGGCTCATCTGGTTGGGCAGATCTGATGGCAGTGGTTGCTGAAGATTGTGGGATTTTGAATCTGTGCATCAACGTGGGTATTACTTGATTTTGGATATCTGTTTGGATGTTGGCAACTTGGTATACTTGAATTTATATGTGTTTATAACAGAAGGTATACGTGGATAGATGCTTTCATCAATGTTGCTCTCATATGTGAGATACCTGGATATAGCATGATATATCTGTTTGTGACCTGCTGGCAATTTTGTCCGTGAGGTTTGAATCCTTAAAATCTGCTATAGTTTCACCGTTCAGATAATGTATGAATCTATGATCTAATCTGTGGTTTCACCATTCAGATAATGTATGAATCTATGATCTAATCTGCTGTGGTTTCACCATTCAATTAATGTATGAATCTATGATCTAATCTGCTGTGGTTTCACCATTCAGATAATGTATGAATCTATGATCTAATCTGCTTGGGGTTTCACCATTCAGATAATGTATGAATCTATGATCTAATCTGCTGTGGTTCCACCATTCAAATAATGTATGAATCTATGATCTAATCTGCTGTCGTTTCACCATTCAGATAATGTATGAATCTATGATCTAATCTGCTGGGGTTTCACCATTCAGATAATGTATGAATCTATGATCTAATCTGCTGGGGTTTCACCATTCAGATAATGTATGAATCTATGATCTAATCTGCTGTGGTTGTGCCAGTCAGCTGGTATACAAATCTATGAGCCAAACCTGTGGTTGCACCCATCAGCACATGCTGATATTTACAATTGCACTCCTCCCTGCTAATTGCCAAATATCTTTTCCTGATTGTATCTAATTAGATTTGATCATTTAATCATTCCTCAAACTAACAAGGTGAAATTACCAACATCTTCCCATGTTACAAAAACCTCCAAACCAATTAGATGAAACTGCTCCGAAATTTATGCCTTCTCTATGGAGAATGCATCAAGCTGGTGGACCAAGCAGCCAGATTTATTGGGGAGCAGGGATGTCTCAAGTGATGCCATCTGTATTCTATATGGGGAACACCATCTACTTCCTGTGCTGATCAGAACTGCGGTTATTCATAAGAATATCGGGACATGGCACTAATTGGGCCACATTGGGACTATGGCGGTAGAAATAGAAAAAGCCAAGATGAAGACTATTGATTATTCTTGGTTATATTTCTGGGCATACTTATATCTTGCTTGTGGACAAAAAGTGATCCTTGTCCATCTAGTCAGATTTTTATCCCAAGACATTATTTCTTCAGCTCACACACTGCTCTTCTTCAAGGGGCATGGGGTTTGTGTTTGGTCAGTGGTACAGTATCTGAAAGGGCACTACACACTGAGGTTAATACACTCTCTGGTACCATTTTGTCTCTGGAATTGGTATTTGTATAGAAGTATGTCTGAATAGGCACTACACACTGACTTAGGTCCACACTCTTTGTGGTAGAGAGACATTTTGTGTCAGAGTGGAAAATACTTTCATATTTATTATTTTCGGAATGCCGTATAATGTATACAGTAAAGCATGGTGCTGAGACTCCAAGCAACTACTAATTTTTGTTATAACTATAGCTCGTTATACGCGTTTCGACTAAAGGTATCCAGCAATTGGTCATATCCATCCGTTTGTTTAGAAGTGGGTTCATAATAAACACAGTTTCCTACAATAGAAGGTGCTGAGCAGTTTCGGAAGCTGGTGAAACCTAGACTTGTCAAAGTATTGAAGACTTGCTAAGGATTTATCAGATATTTTAATACATGTCCCATTAGCAAGTGTTTATTGACATATTGATAGTGTTGATAAGGTGAGTGGCAGATAGAGAATGGTGTAGGTGTATTACATACAAGTTGGAAGTACTACGAGGACAGTATGCTCTAGCAGCTCATAACAACACAAATAGAAATAGAAGGATGAAAACCAACATGATAATAGAAGTAAATGGAGTCAGAGGAAATATTGGAACATAATAAACAACTATAGCAATGTGCTTACTCAACATATTGAAAACCCTAGATACACTGTTAATGTATTACCATGTTAAAATATTTTACTTTTGACATGTTTGAATAAGATATGTAACTTTACTATTTTGGCTCGGTTTTTCAGGTTTCTCAGTTTGCATATTTTTTCAGGTGTGTAAGTGTGAAAAAAGCTTATATTAGATAAAAGACATTCCTGACAATTTCTTTATTCTGAAATAGATTTATCTGAATAAGATTGAGCCGTGTTGTGCCAATCTCGGAGTTTTAATATTTGTTTAAAGTTAATGTTAAAAAGAGTATTTCTTTTCAGATGTTCTTTTCCACTCTCTATGTATTTTATTTATAGTCAGTAGGAAATAACTTTTAATGTTGTTTTCCTACTGAGGATATTATAAAGTATTTGATTACTTTTAGTGGTATGCTTATAGTATATCGCTTGGTGAATGTCCAGTCTGGTTATGATATAAGCCTATTACATAGCTGTAACATTCGTCACAGGTGGTCATTGAGCAATGCCTGTGTTCTTGTCCAGTGGTCCTGAAGGGTCAAGGGGATTGTGTTGGCTGGCAGAGGCTGGACACAGTCTCTGTTGAGTAACAAATGTGTGGAGTCGTAAACGTGAATCACCAACAATCTTTCTTCTCATTGCAGCAGTCACTTCAACTGGTTGAATCTGGATAAACGGGTGCTGGATCACGACTTTGGCAAGAAGTCGGGTGCCCTTATACTTCACTTCTCCATAAGGTAAGTCATGAAATGATATTCGTATCATACAATGTTAAAAGCTTTTCATTGTTAAAGTTAAAACATTTTCTAAACTGTTCTGATTGACCCTGCAATTTGTCATGAAGCTTGTAATGCTTAAAAAATATTTGCCAACATTACGTGACAAATTCTTCACACAGCTAATGTAGACCACACCTACAGTTGTATTTACACTAATAGGCGGAGAAACGTACGTCAAAACATGAACTTAATTTAAAAGTGTTAAAAAATTGCCTTGTAAATAAAAACATTTTCGAAATATTACAGAAAGTTCTTACAACTCTTTTTTCAACAAAACGTGGAAATGTTTGATCTGAAAAGTTTTTCCAAAACTCTAATTCTGCCAACACTCAACAAAAAGCAGTGTACGGTCCTTTGAGGAAAAGCAGAAAAAACTCAGCCAGCTGCATAACCAACAATTTTGAAAGTTCAGTGTTACATTTCTTACTGGGACTTATATACGTGGGGAAAGAACAAAAATGAAAAGACAGTTAAAAAACAAAGTGTTGAGAAATGTAGCCACCTGACAATCTTCTCCCATTTCCCCTACCGGCTGCATAGTTTTGCCAGTTCATGTCAGACCATGAGGAACTATACGAGCACTCAATGTGCCACCTCGGTGACTATCACTTGTGTCAATACGCCAGGCCCATGTTCAATCTTGTCCACATAACACCAATATATCAGCTTTGTTAGTTCAAAGGAAGGATACCCTTCCGAGCTCAGTTTCTGAAAGCCCTTTTCAGTTTGGCCAGTGTATTGTGTGACAAATTTGATTACTTGTGTAAGTCACTTTTAGTGGGTAATGTGTCTTGTAATGGTTTGACTGTTTGGAAAAAGGCTGAGAATGTTATTGAAAACGTTCAGGATTTGGGATTGAAAATGAGTATTTTGAACTTGGGAAGTAGATTGAGCAATGAGGAAATGTATTGGGTGAAAGTTTAGTGTCAGTTGATGATGAACAGATGAGTGTTCATGAACTGATGAATTTTGATGAACTCATAAATATTGATGAACTCATGAGATTTGATGAATTGGTGAGTTTTGATGAACAGATCAGATTTGATGAAACCATGATGAAACGGATGACATTTGATGAACTGATGAGCTCATGAATTTTGATGAACTCATGAATATTGATGAACTCATGAATATCGATGAACTGACGAGTTTCTTCAGATATGTCTTAAGGCTTTGAAAATATTTTATACTTTGTATAAATCAGTTGCAGAGTTCTCATGCATGTAATGATTATTTACAAGGAGTAAGTGAGTGATTCTTGTTAACGCTGCATCAGCAATCTTGCAGCTATTTGCGGCCATAGCAGTCTTCAAGGAAATGTCAGTAGTCCTTCATGAATTTAACCTGTTCAAGACAAGGGTCTAAATTCCAAAGCTGCATTTCCCCAATATTTCAGTTAAAAGTCATGAACAGTTATGCTAACCTATTTTGTGATGAAACCACTTTACACTTGGCATTAATTTATTCAACATGAAACCTTTTTGTAAATATCAAGCAGTTGGTTACAGGCATGAGAATTTTCCGTAGATTTCCGGGATTTACATATCAATTTGGGTCATTTTTCACATCAGCATAAATCTGCATTAACAGTTTTAGAAGGCCGATGGCACTTATTATAATTTTCCGCCAAAACTGAAATCGGCTGTTCTTATGCCTGAGGTTATTTCATTTGTAAATTTTACACAGTTTATTATGTAGCTGTATGCCTATTCAAATGGATCTCTTTGTTAAACTTCAGCGATTGATAAAAAATCATTTTGTTTATTGCATGTTTTGATGACTGATTGTTGTTCTGTTGTGTTGCAGCTACTATATAGAAACAATAGGATTACTAAGGGATACCGCTACAGTGGAACTGTTTTACCTCAACGCCAGGCAAGCTGTATTCAAGGTTGGTCCCATTCTCATGTAATATTTTGTGTTAGTTGGGTTGACTCGGGGGCTTTCTGCGGAAGTGGGGTAGCCAAATGGTTATGGTGTTCACTCGTCCCGCTAAAGACCTGGGTTCGATTCCCCACATGAGTACAATGTGTGAAGCCCATTCCGGTGTCCCCCGGCAGATATTGCTGGAATATTGCTAAAAGCGGCGTAAAACCCAACTCACTCACTCACTACTAGACTAAGGCTTAGTCTCTGAATATATTTAATTTTGATAGTAACAAACAAGCCCATTTATATTGAAAAGGAGCCCTAGGGAGACCAGAGATTCAGAACCTGAGGAAATCTAGACTTGCTTTATTTAGGGCTTTAGCAGCGCAGAGAGGGCTTGGCAGTAGGGAAATTAATGTGGTTCAGGGACTGTGAGACAGACTAACTCACTTCTTACTGGGGTTTCCAGGGGCAGAGAGTGTCCCTGGTACCCCAAACATGCTGCAAGAGCTGACTGATGAAGATTTGGTAATGAGGGTTAACAAAGTATTTCAGGTCTGAGATTGGCGTCACTTGACTCTTGTGCTATCAAAATGTCATACCCTGATGTAATTGAAATGCTGACTAAAGAGGCATTAACCAAACTCACCTTAATAATAATTCCCATCGTCAATGTTTCCTATTATCAATCTTTTTAGCCAGCCCTATCTGGATCAATGTTGTTATTTCCAGGCAGCAGAGATACAGCTGAAATATTGTTGACTACAATGTAACACATCACTCTCATTCACTCGCTCACTCAGTGTTGTGATGTTTGGGATGCTGGGGCCTCAATGTCTAATGGTCCTGACACTTCCTGTATGGAGTTGTGTGCCTGCATTAAACATAAGTTTGTATTGAGCAGCAGGTACATCGAGGGGTTTGTGTAGTACAACAAGAGTTTTGTCCAGTACAACAGGGCTTTTGTGTGGTACAACAAGGGTACAATTTGTGTAGGGGTTTTGTCCACAACAAGGCTTTTAATGTAGTACAACAAGGGTTGGTACAACAAGGGTTTGTGTAGTACAACAAGGGTTTGTGTAGTACAACAGGGGTTTGTCAGGGTTTGTGTAGTACAACAAGAGTTTTGTCCAGTACAACAGGGCTTTTGTGTGGTACAACAAGGGTTTGTGTAGTACAAGGGTTTGTGTAGTACAACAAGGGTTTTGTCCAGTACAACAAGGGTTTGTGTAGTACAACAAGGGTTTGTGTACTACGACAAGGGTTTGTGTAGTACACGGTTTTTGTCCAGTACAACAAGGGTTTTGTGTAGTACAACAAGTTTTTTGTCCAGTGCAACAAGGCTTTTGTGTAGTACAACAAGGTTTTTACCTTGTACAACAAGGTTTTTTATCTAGTAGAAGGTTTTTGCCTGGTACAACAAGATTTTTGTCAAGTACAAACGGTCATTACCTAAGGTTGCGCAAGGTATAAGTTGGTTGCAGTTCCTTGCATGAAATATAGTTTTATGTCTCTCTCAGTTGTCACAAATTGAGATTTATTTCCTCAGTGTAGCTGAAACAAATGTCAAAATCTCTTAAGCAGTCAGTCTTTATTCAGACGGAACCTAGCAGGCTCTTGGCTTAGTCTCGGCAAATGAACAGCTCAGTAAGCCTGTGTACATGTAGGTGCGTGATGCTGCTGGTGGTGGTGGGCAATTGACGGTGCCAGTCATATGTCAGTGTCAGACAGCTCTCCTCCTTCAACAGCAGGAAAAAATCATATTTATAAATGAGGTCAAGTCTCTGTTGTGTCACATCTGTTTTTAGACACCAAGAACATGTAAGTTGGGATTAACAAGTACAAGCTGGATTTCCCAGTTTAACTTTCTATGTTGCATCAGAGTGAGATTTCTGATTCTTGTTATTGAAAAACACAACAAAAACACAGTCATGGTCCTTGTGGAGTTATTTTTATGCCCTTTGTCTCAGTCAACTCCTCTTTGATGTGTACTTCTTTGCAAAATACTTATTTTATTTACGTTGGGTTGTGTCTGAAGTTGAAGTAATTTCCTGTTTCCTTGTGAATGGTTTGTGTTGTGGAATGTGAGTTTTAGTGCAGTAAGTTTTATGGTTGTCAGACTCTACACCAGCTCAGTTGGATGAGGCAAAGGGTGGGGAGGATGGAGCACATGACGTCCCTGATAAACATTGCACCATCATGTTGAGATGGGGAGTGCAGGGGAGTCTGGAGTGTGTGCAGTATTCTGCAGGGTTCCAATGGGCTTTAACTTACTTGAAAACCTGCAAAGATCCGGGTTAGAATTTGTCTTGAGCAACCCATGCTTATCATGACTAACAGGATCTGGTAGTCTCTCTCACTGACCTGGTAGATGCATGTCATTGTATGGTTGATGTTGATTGATGTTCATGATGTCAGTCGACCTGTGAAGGTCCGGGTTAGAATGAACCTTCGGTAACATGCTTGTCATAAGAGGCGACTAACGGGATTGGGTGGTAAGGCTCACTGGCTTGGTTGACACATGTCATCGGTTCTCAATTGCGCAGATTGATACTCATGCTGTTGATCACTGGATTGTCTGGTCCAGACTCAATTATTTACAGACCGCCTCCATATAGCTGGAATATTGCTGAGTGTGGCGTAAAACTAAACTCACTCACTCACTCATGAGTCAGTCACTGGATTGTCAGGTCAAGACTTGATTATTTCCGTCATGTAGATGGAAAGTTGCTGAGAGGGTTAATCATCAAACTAATTACTTGAATCTAAATTTATGTGAAAATGGCCTTAAAATTTTGATAATGAAGCTTGAATTGACTTTGATTTTTCTTATCCATTCCCCACCTCAAGTTAATAACCTGACACAATACTGTATATGTTTTTTTCATATTTTCAAAATGAACACAAATAAGAAATGACCAAAACCAAAAAATGAATCTTTTTCACTTGAATACATGACACATTTTATGGATAACAACTTCATTTTATTCTTTATATGACATTTCAGAGCTAATTCTGACGTAGTAGCAAGAATTAGCTCTGAAATGTTGTACAAGGAATAAAAAGAAGTTGTTATCCATAAAATGTGTCATGTATTCATGTTCGTAGACCTTCAAAATGACTTTCAAGAACTTCATTTTCACCTATTGTGTGACTTATTTTAGGAAATTTTGTTATTTAGATTTGTTATGTGAATTGAGTTGCTTTGATTTGAAAAGCAAATGATAAATAAAGATACAGAAAGATTAAACTGACTCAGGTTCTTGATGAATGTGCAAGGATATGAGAAATTATTTTATATGCTATCAGACATGGGACAAAATTATATTATTTCAAATATATTGGAAAATATGTTCAGTGCGGGCGGGGGATGGGTAACATTGAAAAAATATGGACAGCCTAATCAATAGATAAACAACAGCTGAAGTGTTTCAGTTAGTTTTTGTTTTAACTTTTTGTAAATATCAATAAACAGGGATGTTTGAAAAAAGAACAGTTTGACATTTATGGGATCGCCTGTGTTCCTGTTTGTTATTATCCGGTTCTTTTATTTGAGAAGTTCTGAGGTCTTATTTTCAATTATTTTACTATGAAATGCCTCCAAGCCTTGTCTTTTCTTGACATTTGCCGAAGCTTGTTCATGCTAAAATTTCAGGATAAATAAGCCTGGTTGCAGATATATGTGTTTGTGACTTGAGGAGATGCTGGTATTTATATGGAGATGTCTCTTCTCCATCTGCCTCAACAGGCTGTGGCAGTGATAGCATCCAGCACGGCAGCTGGTAATGGAACCTCTGACATTTTCATCTACTTGAGGACACGCTGACCAGACAGCTGCTGCGGAACTATCTGCTGCCTGGTTTGACTGGGGGAAAGTGGGGTCTGTCTCTCTGTTGTAACCCAACTCACTGTCACTTAGTCAGCATGGAATGCCTCTTTGTGTGTTGCTTATAGCAAACACTCCTCAATATTTTTCCAGCTATATGATATTGGACTGTTAGTAATCATTCTTGACCAATCCGGTGATTGACGTTAAGAGCATTGATCTGAGCAATTGAGACACGATGTTTCAAGGTGAGCCTGACCACCTGGTGTTATGACAAGCATGTGTACCGAATGCCACTTCTAACTTGGATATTCATGGTTATTGAATACTACTGGTCACAAATTCCCATGCTTGTAGACTTACAAGAATCATATGGTCACAGTGTCATTTTATTGGCTGTATGTCATTGTATCTTGACAGCTTTGGTGATTGCTAATGTTATCACCCACTGAGTGAGTGAGTTAGTCAGTATGGTTTTTATGCCGCTTTTATCAATATTCCAGCAATATCACAGCGGGAGATACCAGAAATGGGTTTCACATGTTGTACCCATGTGGGGAATCAAACCCAGGTCTTCAGCATGACAAGCAGCCGATTTAGCCACTAGGCTACTCCACCATCACCTATTACCCACTGACTTGATAATCTGCAGAGATCTTCATGTAGCTTTGAAATAGTTGACTGTGGCATAAATTCCTCTTGCTCAACTGGTCAAGACAGTGATCACTTGTGGACATTTCAACCAGATAGTAGCCAAGCCCTTCTGATGCCTCTGTCAGATACTAGCTGAAGGAAAGTGCCCAGGATAGTGCTGGTTGTCTGTCATCCCGTAACTTGACCACCCTGGACCAGTCAAGATGTGGACAGAGACATTAAGATCTGATGGAATGGTGTCCAGGCTTTGTAAAGCACATGTCAGGATGTTTCAGCTGTCAGTCAACAGGGCACGGCAGTGTCCAGTGACTGGCCTCTAAACTGACCCTGGCATGAAGTCATGGTGTCTGGTTGCAGTGAATCCCTCTGATGTTGTTATTAACATACCACATGTACTGTAGCTGCTTCATGAGGGTATGTTTAATACTGGCTGGTGGTCAAGAGGTCACAGGTCATTCTTCAGAGTCAATGGGGATCTTGAAAGAAACAAATAGTGAAGTTTCATTAGGATGTCCGTCAGTCAAGAATGGTAAAACTGCAGGGATTTGTGTTTGTCTGTCTCACAGTCCCTAAACAACATCATTTCCCCTTCCACTTAGACTAACACATAGTCTCTGAATACATAATTTTGTTAGTAACAAATAAACCATTTATACTGAAAAGGAGCAGACAGGGCTAGGCAGTAAGGAAAATAAGATATCTTCCACACAGCCGTTTCTCCAATGAAAACGATGCAGGTCTCAGGATCTTCCAGCTCACTGGGGCTCCTTTTTTAATGTAACAGGAATTATTCATCTCTACCAAGTTTAAACATATTCAGCGACTAATCTTTAGTCTAGGATGTGTGTATGAGGAGATACGATGAGAATGAGGAGATAGGATATAACTGCTTCATTTGATTCCCCGTGGTGGTCAAGTACTGTGGACATGGGTGGTTTATTATGTTTGTCATTTAGTTGATGAGATGATGAAAGGTGACTGACCCTTTACATGAATCTTATGGTGTTCGATGGACTGTAGTTTGATTGCAGTGTTATTAAACTGGTTCCTATGTCGTAAACAGTTCAAGTTTGCCTGTATTGAGATTTGAAGGAAACGTATATCAGTAAATTCATATCCCCTCCAGATATGTGTCATTTCAGTAGCTACTTTTCCTTGACTTTCCAGAATGTAATCTTGATTGGTGTCAGTGGGGTAGCGTACCCCGGGACATAGACATCTGAATCAAAGTTATCATTTCCCTCCATCAAATTAGTTCAGGATCTGTATGTTCTTATCAGTCCTGGAACTGCTGATCAGAAGACGCTTCAGGCAGATGTCTGCTGTGTCTTCTACCCCCTGTGACAAGGAGCCTTAGGCAGTTTGGTAGGCTGTCGATTAATTGACGGTGATCGTGGTAAACCTGCCCAGCAGCAAGGATATTCCAAGCTCATCAGTTAGCGAAGGAACACTTCATCAGAGAACACTGAAAGAATATATCAGTGAAAGGATACTTTCCTTGCTCATCTAGACTTTTATTGGTGCTTGATGTTTGACAGGGACTTTCTGTCTTACTTTACGTGAGGACTTTTATTGGCATTTGAGAGTTACCATTATTTGTATTGTATAGACGGCACTGGCTGTGGGATCATCTCAATGTCAGCTGTAATCTCTGATCACAAGATTTATTTATTTACCGAGAAGCCCGTGCTGGATTACTTTGCAGCCTGATTGTGAGTAAATTAGATTCATTTGGAGAAGACAGAGACAAATTTATATATTACAGAGTATCGCTGTGGGATTGAGAACATGAATGTTTTCTTTGCTGGAAGGTTTCAGTACTTTGTGGCATCGTGAGGTGCAAGTGTCCAATGACAACATCATTGTCTGTCTTGGGAAGTTACTCCTGAGACAGCGCTGCAAGGAAAGGGGCATACTTGAGTTGCGGAGTTACTTCGACACCACCCTTGAGAACAGGAGGTACTGATTACTGCACCGAGGAAGGATTAGCCTGATTAGGTGGTGCTCCCTCTCTGCCTATCATAGACTCGGCAAGTCAAAATAACATAGGCAATGCTGAGTTTGGGTGGAAATTTGAACTATTTTCTTGTCTGCTCTCATCAGGTTGAAGTCTGTAAATGTTTGTGTGGTTATTTATCATGTGTGAGTGGTGGTGCTACTTGGAGAAGGAGACAGGCTTACCCTTTTTGTGAACTCGGATCATCTCTGATGTTCGCTGATCCATTCAAATTGACTCTCTCATACCCAACAGAAGCAGTTTGGGCAGATAATCAAGGCTGATTACTCTCTGGTATTTGTGTTATATGTTTGGAATGTGTACTTATGTCTGAAAAATGAGTTGTCTGTTGCCAAATAGTGAGTGTGTTAGTTTACTTTTATGCTGATTTTAGCAATATTCAAGCAATATCTAGGCAGGGGGCTCCAGAAATGGACTTCACACATCATACCCGTGTGGGGAATCGAACCCAGGTCTTCAGTGTGACAAGCGAACACTTTAACCACCAGTTTTTTTTTAATATTGTTGCTTGCTTGATTCAAAGGATGATAAAAAGTCAAATGTTAGTCAGTCCCAATACATTACGTTCCATACTTTTCTGCCATCAGAACGTTCTGCCATAAACTGAAATTTTCAAATATTGAAGTATGGTGTTAAATTCTTGTTTTCACATCCAGAAGATAATTCATTACTTTCCTGTCAAGACAGCATTCCTCTAGATCTCAATCCTCTGCATTGTTAATAATTCCAGTGTGTCACGGTATCAGTAGGCGGCATCCTTGATATGGGTATATGCTAGTGTGTTGAGGTCCATCTCGGGGAGGGGGTGTTTATCTAGGCTATTTCAGGAACAGGGAGGAACCTTCCTGTCAAAACCTCCCAGCTACCTCCATCAGTAAAGAGAATCATTTGTCCGAGGCAGTCGGCAATTAGTGATCTGGGATATATGTGTTTGATAATTTATCCTGTTCTGTAACTGTCAAAGCCTTTAATGAGGTGTTTAGGGTGAATGCCTGGCAGCTGGTTTACGGAGCTGTGTGCTGGTGAGGTTTATCACTGAGTGGTGTGGCAGTCGGTTCTTAACTCAGATGTTCAGTGACCATTTGACACTGGATCCTGGTGAGAACTTTTTGTTTCAGTTCAATCTGATTTCTTTACCAGTCTGAATTTGCCGTGTGAATTGTACTGTTGAACTGTTTTTGTTGTTTCCAGGGCCAGATAGAAACAGATGCCGAGACGATCTTCGAGCTCGCAGCTCATGTGTTGCAGGCGACACATGGAGACTATGTCAGGTGAGTTGATTACATTGATATGTTACAGGTGCTTACATTTTTGTAGTATAGGTGTACATTGTGTTCTGATGACCAAGTGTGTCTGTTTCACCTAATGGAGGACCAAGGATTTTACTGTTTCACCTGATGAAGGACCAAGGATTTCACTGTTTTACCTGACCTGATGAAGGACCAAGGATTTCACTGTTTCACCTGATGAAGGACCAAGGATGTTGCTGTTTCACCTGATGAAGGACCAAGGATTTTACTGTTTCACCTGATGAAGGACCAAGGATTTTACTGTTTCACCTGATGAAGGACCAAGGATTTTACTGTTTCACCTAATGGAGGACCAAGGATTTTACTGTTTCACCTGATGAAGGACCAAGGATTTCACTGTTTCACCTGATGAAGGACCAAGGATTTTACTGTTTCACCTGATGAAGGACCAAGGATTTTACTGTTTCACCTGATGAAGGACAAGGAAAATTACTTTATTAGCTGACAATTATAGCATGTGTTTGTCTCACCGGAAGAGCGACAAATGACTTGACTTTAACCAGATGTGACAAGATGTAGCTCTGAGACATTGTGGTGCAACAGCAGAAACATTGTCACTGGGTAGTTTCAGCAAAGTTACAACACTGTCCTTCAGTATGTGTTGTATGTGAATCAGAAACAGAGCCAGGATTCTTGGAGACATCGTAAAGAGGATCTGTCCTTCACACTTCACTGGAATATGTTGATCAATGGATTGGAGCGTTCCCAGGGATGCCATGGAGATTTGTTTGGCTGTAATTGTGCTTATGTGTTTAGATATGGATAACTAGCAGATCAACACTTCGGGGCTGGAATCCTCATTACCTGGGTCCTGTACAGGCTGGTTTTCTTACCATTCAATGAAGACATCCTGTGTGGATTATACCTGTGAACGGCTGCAAGATTCATGGAATCTGGAAATTGGTAGGATGTTGAATGATTTGCGAAGGATTCATATCTGGGTCGTTGGATTGGTGTGGAATTGAATCGTGAATTCATGACTGACGTTTGAGGAAATTACACCTGTAACACTTAGGATGTTTGCAGGTTTTATCGCTCGGCTAAAAGCTGTTTATTTGTTTTTGTGATGTTGAACATCTTCCCATGATGCAGCTGGAAGATGATTGAGGCAGAGGGATGGGATATCTGGTACTGAAGTCAAAGGTTGCTGCTCTTGCATAATACATGGCATTGTCAGACACGTTTAGCTGATGAAGCAATAAAACTACATCCTGTAATTAACATTGCTTGACAACGCGGATGTACTTGGAGTTGAAATGCTAATCTGATCAAGATTGGTGCAGCTGAATCTCACAGGTAAAACATGGTGGAAACAGTTTCGATTTGAATCCATGCCAGATATCTCCAAATGCCAAAGGCAACAAAGCAACCGTTCTGGTACAGAAATACTTTCCTTAGCTAATCTGGCATGGGGAAGCATGTATAATGTTTACCTCAGTTGTGTGGAGAGTATTATCATATTAGATACTGTAATGGGGAGTTAATGTGTCAGATAACAAGCAAAAAGGGTTTTCCAGCTAGCTGTTTGTTTAGAATTAGAGCATTTTCATGACAGTGATTTGTGCTTTTCTTGCTCTTTATGTTGGAAAACAGTCAAGATTTGGGAAATTGGTTTCTAGAAACCTTGCACTTTTCATTCGGCATTCAAACGTAGGAAAAGCTGCTTCTATTAATCCTCCACATTCCAATGTTACAATCAAGCACTGGTCAACTTAGTCCCACAGAGAATTCCTAATGGTTAAGTTTGTCTTAGTGACTGGTCAGTTATTGCAAGTAGGTGATTGGTTACGGTAATGTTTCATATGTTGCCCTTTTCTCTCTTCTTTCCCAGACACATAGCTATAATTTGATACAGTGAAATGAGATAGTTCCTCTCATGAAATAATTCTTTAAATGCTAGTACTGGAATACATGAATCATTCAACTGTTTATGTTTTTTAAAGGGGTTCTTAGGGAAATAAATTTTAAGTAGACCCAAATTTTGAAATATTTATTCCAGTAATACCCTGTGTTTCCTATTTGATTGTGTGATTCAAGGTGTGATTTGGCCCCTATTACACGAGTGTTGTTGAAAGACTTAAAGAGATAGCTAAGATCAGGATACTGTGTGGCTTTGTGGGGATTGGGATAGAGAACTTTGATAATGGGCCATTTTCAGGATTATTAGCCATTTTCTGAATTTAGAATGGGCCACTGCACTTGTATCAATAATAAAATTTTAATGGGCCTTTTTTATTCTAGTGTGCAAAATGTCCCAAGGCCCCTACCTTTCCCAATCCCTGCTTTGATTGTACATCCTCATATTCAAACAGCATGTGACATTGTTCAGATTATCAACCACTGGTTTGACAAGCCAGACTTGATTATATATGCTTCCACGATATAACTGAATATTGGTAACATTGCAAAACAACATTCAGTGACTATTTGACTGCACACCTCCTCCAAGAAGGTTTGGTAGCCCTAAAATTCAGGTCTCCATTTTTCTTGCTGAAGTAGGGTTCCATTGCCATGATGGTGCGTTGAGGGATGTTCCATAGCAAGATACGGGTTAATACTTCAGAAAGTGATGTTCCATAGCAAGATACAGGGTTAATACTTCAGAAAGTGATGTTCCATAGCAAGATATGGGGTTAATACTTCAGAAAGTGATGTTCCATAGCAAGATACGGGGTTAATACTTCAGAAAGTGATGTTCCATAGCAAGATACGGGGTTAATACTTCAGAAAGTGATGTTCCATAGCAAGATATGGGGTTAATACTTCAGAAAGTGATGTTCCATAGCAAGATACAGGGTTAATACTTCAGAAAGTGATGTTCCATAGCAAGATATGGGGTTAATACTTCAGAAAGTGATGTTCCATAGCAAGATACGGGGTTAATACTTCAGAAAGTGATGTTCCATAGCAAGATATGGGGTTAATACTTCAGAAAGTGATGTTCCATATCAAGATACAGGGTTAATACTTCAGAAAGTGATGTGCTTCTTTGCTCTTTCAGTGGCTCATAAATTCCTGTTTAAGAAATTACTTCTGGATATTTGTTGGCATGTGTATCACAACATGGAATTTTGATTGATAATTGATTGAGAGTCAAACTGACTGAAACTGTTACATGCTGCCTCCTGGAATAGCCCCCATCACATGCCTGATTGCCTCCTGCAGTATTCTAGGATTCCACTTCTTCCTCTTCCACTGAAGATGGAAGTGTTTCCAGTTAGTCATTTCCCATGTAATTAACACTCATAAAAATCCACAAAGATGAACAGGCTATGTCACGAATTCAGTCAGTGATGTGAAACTATCCTCCTACAACTATCTCTGTGTCTTCCGGAGAGGATGAATCTCCTAGCTAATTTAAGGTTATTTGTATATTATGCAAGAGTAAGGAGCAGCTTGTCATGAATCAGTAAAACTATCCCCCTACAACTACACCCCCCACCACCACCCCCATATCAACATAGGATATGTGAATGCTGTAATGAGGAATGGTCATGAACCAGTAAAACTATCCTCCTGCAACTAGCTCTGTACCTTCACAAGAGGTGACAACCCCAGCTGGAGGTTCTCAGTATGTAATGATGTTGCAAGTAGCATCTGGTCAGGATCATGGGGTTATCTGTTCTTGTATCTCCATCTTCACTCAAGGGTTATCAACGCTCAGGTTCTGGCTGCTGCCATCTGTGCTCTATGCTCATCGGGAATATCAGTCTCAGTTTTTAAGATGATTTTACAAATGTTATATAACAGATCTATGTCTTACTACAGTCAAATACTATTGCGTCATACTTTGATGTTTTAAACTTTCCGTTGTCTTGAACTGAAACCTTAGTCCCAACACATTCCTTCTTTACTTTTCATTTTTTTTAGTTTTGTTGAACCTCAAAGAACTTGAATTATCAAAATAAGCATTTCCTGACGTGTTAATCTTTTGGTCTGGCAGTGCTGAGTGTAGAATTTGACTCTTGTCCGTGATCACCCGAGATAACCATAAAGGTGATCCTGAAGCGAAGCTAGTTTCCATTGACTCAAGGATCTCAGTTAACCTAAGACCCATGAAGATCCGGGTCAGAATTGATCTTATGTAACCCATGCTTGTCATAAGAAGCGACTATCGGGATCAGGAGAGGGGTAATGCTCGCTGACTTAGTTGACACATGTCATCATATCCCAATTGCGTAGAACGATGCTCATGCTGTTGATGGACTGGATTGATTGGCCCTGACTTGATTATATACAGACTGCTGCCATATAGCTGGAATATTGCTGAGTGCAGCATAACACTAAACTCGCTCACTCCAAAACATAGAGACCCTTAGAAATGGATAGCCTCAAATCTCAAACTATACAAGGTTGGCGGGTCTACATTTCTGTATTTACAAGTCTTTGGGCTCATTTCTTTTTCATATTTTGAAAACTTTAATCATTTTGTTTTGTAAAATAGTTTCACCTGAGAATATTCTTCCTTTTTTCCCATTGTAGAAAGAAACATTCACACTAAGTGCTGGTTTATACCAGGCCCGGTACAAAGTTTGACTTAAAATTGGGATCAGGCAATTACTCTAATCATATGCCTTTCTGAGAGATCACTTTGTCAAAGTCAAATCACAAAGAAATTTATTTGTTTATTCATGAGGCAGGTGCTGGATAATGACTCCATGTGGTCCCACTGAAGACATGCAGTGTATAAGTTATTCCTGGTTCTTTATATTGTGGTAGCATCAACAGAGGATAACTCCTGGTTTCTGTATCCAACAGCAGTGTGAATAATTGATGCTAGTCCGTGCTTCTGATGCTGAATACGAACAGAGGGCTCATGTCGGCAGCCAGTGTCTCTGTCCTTGAAGTATCCAGGCTTTCTAGAAGTAATTTTATGGTCCTTCAGATATCTGACTCCATCACTTCCACTGCAGCTCTGGATCCTGCTGTTGCTGAATGTTTGAGGTGTCTGTTGGAGCACAGCTTGCAGACACCTTTGTCAACAGAATCTATTGGTTGTAACAGACCTCAGGGACTCTGTGATGTAGACGGTTTGGCAAACAGGACATATTTTATTGACAGAATATGTCATGAACAGATTGTTGAGAGTTGTGGAGAAAATATTTTGAACTTTACATTGATACTATTTAGTTCAATGTACTTTCTTGTTGTAAGCCTGTCTGAAAGTCCCTGGACCACATTATTTTCCCCCTGCAGTGCTAAAGCCCTAAATGAAGTAAGTCTAGATTTCCCCAGGCTCTGAATGTTCCAGCTCAGTGGGGGCGGTGGAGTAGCCTAATGGTTAAAGCGTTGGCTCTTCACGCCGAAGACCCGGGTCGATTCCCCACATGGGCACAATGTGTGAAGCCCATTTCTGGTGTCCCCCGCTGTGATGTTGCTGGAATATTGCTAAAAGCGGCATAAAACCAAACTCAGTCAGTCAGTCCATCTCACTGAGGCTTCTTTTCAGTTAAGTGGAATCATTTGTTGCCATCAAAATTAAATATATCCAGAGACTAAACATTAGTCTATCTTTGTATGTGTGAACAATTTGCTGTGTGCATTTATTGTGTTCACGACACAACTGTCATAAATCAGGAGAGTTTTACGACATGTCTTACGTGAGTTTGTGGCCCATTTGAAATGGTTAAAAATCAGCTGCTTTGAATTGACAGTGTAATATATTCAGACCCCTATTGCAGTTGACTTTTCCTGCAAGGTAGAGGCAATTTAACCTTCAGCAGATGATGGTGATGGAAAGGATGGTCCATGCAGCGAATATCTAGAACATATCTGACACGCTCATCCATCAGAATTTGAAGGCAGTTGTGAAACACTTGAAAAAGTCGCCTGAAACAATAATTTGAATACAATGGAATGTTTTTGTGGAATTTGGAACTGCAGGAATTGAAACAGTCTCATTATTTTCCTACATATTGTCTGTCAAGAATGAATTATTTGCATCCAGACTAGAATCTTCCTTGTAGAATCTTGTAGAATGTACGTTCTTGCTACAAACACAGCATCACTTATTTCCTGCCAAAGGGTTTGAGCTCCCCCTCCAGAAAACCACTCAAGTTTCTGTATCCATTTGTGTTTAAGCTTTTTACAGGAATAGGGGCGGTGGGGTAGCCTAGTGGTTAAAGGATTTGCTTTCGTCTCAAAGAAGACCGGGTTGATTACCCACATGGGTACAATGTGTGAAGCCCATTTCTGTGTCACCACATATTGCTGGAATATTGCTAAGCGGTAAAACCATACTCACTCACTCAGGAATAATATTTGGTTGACTATGCAAGGTATTTAAGCTGTTCAAGGATGTATCATTTATCAATTTGCTCCTAGTGAGTAACAAGCTCCTTCTCAAAAACTAATGTTTAAGTTTTTTAATAGTCTGTCTCACATTCCCCGAACCACATTATTTTCCTTACTGCCTAGCCCTCCCTGCATTGCTGAAACCCTAAATGAAGCAAGTCTGAATCTTACAACTACTTGGGGCTCCTTTTTTAATTTAAATGGGTTTATTTGTTACTATCAAAATTATATATATTCAGGGAATAAGCGTTTGTCTAGATTTTAAAGTTCATGCACTGATTTAGACCCGTGAAGATCTGGGTTAGAAGATCCATGGTTGTCGTAGGAGGCAACGAACAAGATCGGGTGTTTGGGTTTGCTGGCGTGGTTGACATGTATCATCATATCCCAATTGCATAGCTCGATACTCATGCTGTTGATCACTGGATTGTGTGGTCTATGCTCATTTCTTTACAGACCGTTGCCTTAAAGCTTTAATATTGCTGAGTTGACGTTAAACAACCAACAAACAATCATACATTGATTTCATGCTTGTGGGTCAGTGTAGGTTTGAAGGTGATTAATGTTGCTGGTGATGCTAGTTGTTATGTGTCTGTCTGGCGGAAGGAGACAGTGATGGATGGAATGATGGATAGAGGCTGAGGTTGAATGTGTAAACACAGAGCTTCAGTCCGGCCTGTCACCAGGTGCTTATCAGGAAAACACTTTGTTAGTTTGGGGAAATGCCTGTCTAAACACACACATTATAGACTATTATGTCTTAGATAGATATCACTAGCCCAATATTTGTAGCTTTTATCTCTGGTTTGATGTTGTGCCAGTGTGTTGTGGTCCCCACGCCTGGTCAGCCAGCCTTGTCCACAGGGCATGCATTAATTGGCTGACCGACAGCGGGGACAGACAGGGCTTGGACACAATTGTTTTATTGTTCTTCACACTGAACCAGCTGTGCTTTTCATCAAAGAAATCAGACACCCTTCACCCCTGCTGAGAAATGGTCCAGCCCACACAACGCAGAAGAAATGGTGTTTGGGATAGTTCACTTTTTGTCAAGGTATGCGAGGATGGCTTTGCTTGGTGATGAAGGTTATGGAAGGAGACTGTGTTTGTATATCATGGAGATGCCACCTCTACCATCTCAGTGAGCAGGCCTCTTGTGAAGCAGCCCTACAATATCACAGCATCAACTGTAACACCTACAGCACCAGCTTCTCAGCGAGGGTTGCGTCATGTAGACACCACCGACAGATTGACGGATTCAGCTGCAGTGGTTCTACCCATGGAGTCGCGTGCATGTTGCGTTGATCCAGCTTCCCCACCCTGCGCTGTGGAGGAGGAACCGGATGCGTGCATGTGAATGTGTTATGGTTAGTGGCGTGCTGGGTTTGTGTTATTACTAGGACCAGACCTACAGAGCAGCACGTGTGAGCGATTACGGAGGCAGGGGGGCCGAGTCGTCACTGGAAACAGTGACCCACGAGACCTGAGATTGATGTGACTACCGGATTATCCCTGTCCAGGAATTCAGAATCCATTCAGCGTCTCAGAGGACTTACTGTTATTATGCTAGTCTTAAGATCCTTTATTGATTACTGGTGTAAGTAGACAATTGAGACTTTATGTATTATCTTGTGTTGATGAGCTTCATAGCCAAGTCATATTGCTTGAATTGTGATCTAATCTTACAGGCGTGCTGACCTAATTTACCTTATTCTATGCCTATCAACAAAGGTATAACAGCAGACATTGATATTATCAATGTTGACCTACAAAAATAACTATAAATTTTGTGTATGGTAGAGTTGAATATTATGATTTGAAATTATCATTTTTTATTTTCTTTCCAGTGATGAAGATACAAAGAGTGAATTAAAGAAACTTCCAGTGATTCCTACAAGCTCTCTCAAGGAGCATCCTTCCATAGCGTTCTGGTGAGTACAGTTACACTTGGCCGTCTCAAGACACAGACACTGTAATCTGTGACACTTACAATGGTCCATTGTGTGTATGTGTGTGCCATTGTTAATGGTGGTGCACTCCTCGGCAGAGGAGCGTTAGGCTGAGTTATGGGCTGATAGCTTATTCTGATGTGGAGGAAGTTTCAGAAACTGGGGGGCAGTGGGGTAGCCTAATGGTTAAAGTGTTCACTCGTCACACTGAAGATGCGGGTTCGATGTGAAGCCCATTTCGGGTGTCCCCCACCATGATATTGCTGGAATATTGATAAAAACTGCGTAAACCCATGCTCCCTCAATCACTCACTTCAGAAACTGGTGTCAGATTGAAGTAAAATTTAAAATTTAGAAGACGAAGTGAAACGATTGTCACAAAATCAAGTATATTCTGATCTTGAAGCTTTTTTGGGAATAAATCATGACTTGACAGATTATCTGTAGGAAGATGAAAGAGTGTGCTGTTCTTTACTTTTTTTGAGTAGTACAGAAGATAATTCATGAAGCTGGTGTCAGGTTTGAGTGTTAAGCAAGTTTAGATTTAAATTTTAAAATTTATGAAACCTAACTTGGGAGGGTTGGGGTAATGTCAAAAGTGAATATATTTTGTTTCATGTTTGAAATTTAGTTCCTCCTTGATCTAAGAGGGAAGAATAACAACAGAGTAGAACTAGATACGGAAATATATTGGAGACATAACAAGAAAGGAATAGACAGACTTTCATCTGTATGTTACTTATTTATTTAATTGTTTAAAGGGTAGAAATGTTACCATGAATTATTCATCCTAGATGTCAAAAAAGATCTTATCTCATGTCAGAGATGATTCTGGTAGGGATCATGTTAGGATGTACCTTAGATTTGAAACCCCACACAAACAGAGGTGAGCTGTGGGTGAGATGTAGTAACCGAGATTGACTATGAAGTAGGCATCTGCCTGCCAGGTCATTGTGTGAAGATGTTCAGCATCACAAAATGCAATTCAGCATTTGTGTAGCAGATCTTCAAAGTAAATGTGCATCTCCGGGGTTAGATGTTTATTGTCGGATGTGTCTGTAGATGCTAGAGTGCAGACTGACTTGATGCAGCAGCCCAAGATGTTGCTGCTCTTGAGGTCTGATTTACATCACAAAATGAACTGCAAATGTATGTCTGGTGCAGTGTTTGAGGAAAAGTCTTTGGTAACCCTGAGGCACAGCCTGAGAATTTTTGTTCTGGATTTGGGAACGTCTCTGTGAAATGTGCAGTGTCTTAGACGATGAGCAACACCATGTAATATCATGTACCAAGTATAACGAAGAAAGGGAATCACTTATACACACAATGCTTTATTATGACCAAGAATTTACTACACTCTCCAAAAAAGAACAATTCCTAATAATTTTCACGAACAGAAGTCCTGAATTAATTTCCAAAATATGTCACCATCTTTACAACTTTAAATGAATTCTATATCTTACCATAATCTCCTCATATATTATTTCCATGTCATTATACCACATGATTTCTAAAAATTGATATAATGTACATCATTTATGTGTGAAATGTATCTATATTTCTTGTACCTACTGTGTAAATATTTGTAGCTTATAGAATATTGCCACTGTTTCTTCGTGGAATGCAATGCAATAAATATCTTATCTTATCTTATCTTTGGGTTGAGAGTGTAGAGAATTGTCAGGAGATTATGTGTTGTTGGGAAGGGTTTTAGTGTGTGAAGAAACTGGGGTTGTGGTATATGGTTGGTTGGTTGGTTGGTTGGTTGGTTGGATTGGTTGGTTGGTTGGTTGGTTGGTTGGGGGAGAGGAGCAAAGGCAATAGAGATGTTTTGGATTGACTTCACTGTTAATTAGTCAATTGTCATGAAAATCTGAGTTTCAAGAACAAATGTTGTTTCTTTATAGACAATAACATTGTATTGTCAGATAATAATTTTATCCACTTTCTCCAATATGTATATCTATATTGTATTCAACTGGGTGTATATGTTTCAAATAGATTATTGATCTAATTCTAAATGGACGACCTTGTAACAGAAATTCAAAACAAAATGTCACACTGTTAAGGTGAAGAAATGCAAAGAGGCTCATACAGACCCTTGGATGAAAGTATCTGAAAATGTCTCAAGCAAGTCTGCAAAACCAAATGTTCTGAAGTACTTTTGGCTGAAGGTTCTTGTGGGCTTCTTTAGCATGTTTATGCACCAGACAAATTAACCAAAAGTATCTTTTCAGAAGCATTATGTTAGTTTGTGAAAAATATTTCTGCAGCTTAAACTTTAAAAATCTCATTGGCAAGGTCTTTTAAAAATGATCTTGGCTGTCAACAGTTTTAAGGTTTTGCTTGGTACTATTTCTGTCTCGGTTTGTTGTGAAGAGTTGTGTTATCAGGAAAAGATAAACATGCCATAGACAATGGTCATAGGGTTACAAACACAGCTATCTAGTGGGGGTAAATAAGTTCTGTTTGGAGAATATAAGCCATTACACTTCACTCTATGGTGTTTCTGATAAGATGGTGGGGCACTGGGGTAGCCTTGTGGTTAGGCATCTTCTCGTTACGCCAAAGGCTGGGTTCGATTCCCCTCCATGTGTACACTGTGAAGCCCATTTCTGGTGCCCCTGTCGCGATATTGCTGGAATATTGCTAAAAACGGTGACAAACCCAACTCAGTCTGATAAGATCGTAGCGTGTGATCTCTTCCTCATTTGATCTTCCTCGATTAATCCATATTCAATAGATGGTCAATTCTTATGCTTGGACTATTATTGACTATTGATAAGGAGTTTATGATGTCTTGGTTGACACACCAAGATAAATAAATACCTTGTAGAAGTCTGCATATTATATGCTTCTGTGCCAGCTAATTTAGGAATATGAACAAAAACTTCTGTGAGGAGTTTTTATGAAAGGCAAGCGCAACAGGTCTGTCTGACTGTCTGGTGTGCACATGGGAGAAGGATGAACGCTGAGAACACTTGTTGAATGGGTGGAGCTGAAGCTGCCATGGACTCAACACTGAGATGATTTGCTTGAAGATCATAGGTAAATAGGGCAGAGTTGTACTGACTGGGGAACACCTTGTCCTGATGGTTGTTCTGGTGGTGGGAGTGGTTGTCAGGTGTTCAGGTCACCGGTATGTCTTGTCGAAGTTATCTCCCTTTGATTCATTGTGGTGGGAGTTTTCGTCATGTTTTCAAATCCTTCAGCCTTGATAAAACTGTCATGTGAAGAAGGTATGATCTGATTTGATTGATTTGATCTGTTGGGTGTTGGAGTGTGGGCGGATAATTTGAGAGCTGCAGATTTTATTTTGTATAGAATTCAGCAGGAGTAGACTTGTGATGTTTGGGACAATTGCAGGAAGGGAGGAACCTGGCCTCTCATTGCTTCTTATCAGTGAACCCTACACTCATTGAGATCCCAGGGATTCCTTCAGGTTGTAAACTGTGGGCATGTACTGGTGTGTTGACAGGAAAGTACTTTGAGGTTTGGGCTGTGAAGTGACTAGAGTACTCTCATCACTCACTTAAAATGAAGCAGGAAGGTGCTGAGTGATCCAAGGCCTGTTGGGGTAACTACAGTGCAGGGTCGGATCTGGATGTGTCCACTGGTGTAGGTCGTGCTGTGGAGGACATGTGACTTCTATCATCACCAGCTCACTGCATCATGGCACAGTGATGCAGATCACGCTGAATAGGACATGTGTCCCCTGTCATCACCAGTGATCCAGGACATGCAGATCACTGGCTGAATAGGACATGTGACCTCTTTCATCACCAGTTCACTGCATCATGGCACAGTGATGCAGATCATGCTGAATAGGACATGTGACCCTATCATCACCAGTGATCCAGGACACACTGTGGAGGACATGTGACCCTATCATCACCAGTTCACTGCATCATGGCATAGTGATGCACTGATACAAACACATTGTTACACTAGCATAACAACTTGTCATGCCCCATGACATGTTGGGTACATTTCAGCATAGCACAGCCCAGAATGCAAGCCATGCCTGACTGAAACACCCTAAGGCATACAGAGCCTGACACTGCTATGTCAGAGCAGCCCAAGGAGATTCTGCACATACTGCATCCTGGAAGACAACATAATGCTGTCCCCATATCGCCTCCATCTGTCTGACAGACGCATCTCGCCTGTTGACATACGTCCTTGTTAGCCTAGCTAGCATTCTTACAACACATTACCAAATTTCTTCCTTGATGATATGAAGGGCGGTATGATGCCTGTTTATTCTGACAATTAGGAAAACAAAAAGTCTTGTTTTCCTGTGGATGGCCTGCATACCTCAGTGTTGACTTTGTAGCCAGACACACTGGCAAGTGTGCACAAGCAGCTCCCCACTCCAGCCTGCTGAATGACAGTGTGTGGCAGACTGGCCGATACTTGATGCAGATGGATAACTGTCAGACACCTAGTCCATCGAAACAGCGCCTTTCACCTGATTGGCCATTAGCACTTTTTGTCCAGAGAATTGCTTTGTGCATTAGCTGCTGATATCATTAACCTGAGTGGATGACAACGTTGGAAGATATGACCCACAATTCTGTTCTGTTCTGTTTTAACGAAAAATGTTACGTTGTTTCCGTAAAGGAATTTAGTTGAATTTTTGGGTCTCATGCTCCGTTGGTTCTTTTCAGTTGTGGTGTCTTTTTCTCAAATATGGGTTACAAGTTTATGTGTAGCAGAAAATCTGAAATTGGTCGATTAGTTTCGCTCATGAGGCTTATTCATGAGTGGAACTAATCAACAGATTGAGGATTTTTTTCAACCTAAAACAAAGTCAACATTGTAATCATCTAGAGGAATATGTAAGTGAGACAAAATATGCTCCATTGGCTCGAAGAATATGCTACTCATTAAGTCTAGCATTGTGTAAACACTAAGCACTGTTCAAGGGTTTGATGACATGTTGCATGAATCTATGGAGACTGCCTAAATAGTTATTTTTTAAATGAGGATTATGGCACATATACTTAGATTTTAAACACTGATAAAGTGTTTAGAGGAGGCAAAGACTGAAATCCAGAGCACCTGTCATGATGCCCTCTAGAGGTCAGTCAGTTTAGTGTGATGTGAGGCGGAGAGATAGCAGGCAGCTTGGTGCAGCAGCCACCTCCATGGAGGACTTGACTTGACAATGTCTGGTGTTGGCAGTTGGAACACTTCCATCAGGAGCTTGTGTCCTTGTAAGTTCTACACCTACACCAAGCTGGAGGGTAGAGTTGATGTTTCCCTGCTGACATCTCTGTGGTTAAACATGACAACTGTTGCTGCTCATGTTGCTGTTACTGCTCATGTTGCTGTTGCTGCACATGTCGCTGTTGCTGCTCATGTTGCTGTTGCTGCACATGTCGCTGTTGCTCATGTTGTACTGCTCATGTTGCTGTTGCTATGTGTGTTGTTGCTGCTCATGTTGCTGTTGCTGCTCATGTTGCTGTTACTGCTCATATTGCTGTTGCTGCTCATGTTGCTGTTGCTGCTCATGTTGCTGTTGCTGCTCATGTTGCTGTTGCTGCTCATGTTGCTGTATTTGTACAGATTTCATAGAACAGGTTCACTTTACAGGCAGCATTTACATAAATTTAACACTACACAGTAGGAATGACAGAAGTGATGCTATGTGCATTTGTCTAACTGGAAGCACTTTACTTGAAGTTTTGTATATATATCTGTGGGTGAAAGACATGACATTTAATATGACAAATTATAGGTGACAAATCACCTGAGGTGACAAAACTTGATATATGCTCCTATGGACTTATCCCAACATTGTGTGTACATGAAAGACAAATGGTGTTAAAAGCATTAGATTCTGGGGAAGAAATGATGAAACTTGATATCTGCTCCTGTGGATTTTCTGAAATTTATCAAATTATGGAGAAGAAATGACACCAGGGTTTACATGTTCAAGGACTTGTCCAAGCGTAATGCATTTCCTCAGCAGTATATGAGTACTCTTCAGAACACAAGATGATGTTTACTGTCACACATCAAAGGGAAGAGAGACAATAGGAGTGGTTCTGTTTGAAGTGTAAGTAGTTTCTGTAGGTTTCAGATGCCCTTGTTAACCTGGATGGAATGTTGCTTGAAGTGGTCAAACAGTGATGAAGTCAGAAAGTCAAGAAGCTTTGGTTGTATGGGATGGGTGGGTCATGTCAGGAGCGTTAGATGACAGGGTGACAATATATCTTCCCTCACATCATGTAGTTTCAGTGCTCTGTTGTCAGAGTTTGTTAATGCTGTACTAAGCAATATGCCGGCTATATGCAGTGTATGAAATAAGCCAAAATTCCAGCCAGAAATCAGGGCTGGTAACTTCCAAATGTTACCAGCCCAAAATGGACTTAACCAGACCAGATATGGTGAATTTACTCAGATGTATGGAACATCTATAAAAAATTACCAGACCATCGGGCTGGCTAGCTGTAAATTTACACCGTCCGTCAGAAATCTAGACGTCTCGGTGGGTGGGAGGGGCCTTATTTCATACACTACTATATGACAGCAGTCTCTAAATAATTGAGTCAAGACCAGGCATAAGAAAAGCAAGATTTATGGATGTCAACTTCTTTATTGTGAATAACACAACGTTTCGGAGTGTATGCTTGCTCCATTATAAGGTCTAAACGAGGGAGTCCAACGATTGAGATCATGATCATTTGGGAAGTGATGGTGTATTAGAGGCAGAGGAGTCCGTAAGAATTGTTTAGTTTTGAGATGCTCTGTACTCCGAGCCCTTCCATCGGGGAAGTAGATATGATGTGCCACACGGTACATCTAGGTCCTGTTTGCTGGCTTCATAACTGCACCATGACTCCATGATACCAAACCAGGAACTTCAAATCCAGCTAGCTCTGTTACGAAATCAACATTAAAAATAGATTTGGTCTGAGGAGAAATGTTTTGTGTTATTAAACATTTTAAATACTATGTTAGTCTTGCCCCACTCAGATGCTGTGTTTAGATGTGAGGTGTCTGTGGGGAACACAGTGAGCTATAGTCTGTTTGAAGTGAAAACGTACCGATGAATTTCAATTTAAACAAAAATGTAAATCAAATAAAGTGAAATTAAGATTGTGAATCCTCATAATTTTACCTTGCCATTTGAACGTTTAAATCTGAGAATTTCATTCAACTTCGGATAAAAGTTGATTGTCTTCCAGGGTTTGTCGGCACCAAACCTGTGCTTACCAAAGCTGTAAATGTCTGCATCACTTTCTTCATACATTAAGCAGTCACTGGAATACAAAGCAGTATTATAAAACAGTAGGGCAGTCAACCAAACTGCCGAGCAGAACTAGTTGTAAAAGTCAGAAAGATGTTAAAAAGGATGAATCCATGGAGGGTGGTTTGTGGGACAAATATTTACCTAAAGAGAAGTTAGTATTAATGTCAGCCCAAAATGATGAAATATTTGGCCTTTGTGTGATGTCACAGAAGGACCAGAAAGGAAGTGACTCATCCATTAACCAGGTGTTCTGAATTATACCCCAAATTTGATGATGATGCATGAGATTTCATTTGAGGATGAATAAAAGGATAATGTGTACGATCTGATAGGAGATGTAGAAGGAAGATTAGTGAGCAGGGAAACCCTCTGTGCTCCATTAACCTGATTCTTGTAACAGTTTTGGTGTATATGCTATCTCCTCGCCCACGTTGCCTGCAGTGGTATTGTTTGACCAGATACCGACTGACTCTCATCATTGTGGCCATGTGCAATCTTTAGGAACAGATACAGACTGGGGTGGGGGGTTAATGGTTTCTCCGGAATGATGAAAAATTTGTCTTTGTTTCACACACACAAATCATTGTATGGACATCGTGGATGAACAACTATGTGGATATTCTGGAATATAATGTGTTTACACTGAACACTTCCTAGGCATTGATAAGCTGAAAGACTGACTGACTGAGTTTTAGCAATATTCCAGCAACATCACAGCAGGGGGCACCAGAAATGGGCTTCACACATTGTACCCATGTGGGGATTCGAACCCGGGTCTTCGGCGTGACGAGCCAACGCTTTAACCACTAGGCTACCCCACCGCCCTGATAAGCTGAAAGAGATCTATACATACTCTTTGTAACAATTTCTGAATTGTTGTAAGTGATATTTAGTTTTAACAGTACTTGAAAAATCTTTCGGAATGTACTATGTAGAGACTGATTTTGTACGAATTTCTGGTGCACCAACCAACTGGATCAGGTGGTCAGGCTTGCTGATTTGATGATCGATGCTCATGATATCGATCACTGTATTGTCTGGACCTGACTCAGTTATTTACCTGCCGCCATCAGCCTGAATACTGTTGAGTACAGCATTAAACAACAAACAAACAAACCCACTGCAGCAATAATTTAGGAAACAGAAACATGAAAAGAAAATATTATTTATGTTGTAGCACTGACTGTTCAAGAAACGGTTCTGTTTGTACCCCTCCCTGAATGTTTTTTCCTTGCACGCAACACTATCTCAACTTATAAATCTGATAGAAGCATAGGTTCGTGACAAACATATTAATATTTCACGACCTCTGTGTCTGTCTTTCTGCGCTGTTAGAATACATCACAAATTACTGCATCTCGTCCCTTTCATCTATGTTTCCTTGTTATGAGGCCCAGGACAATGTGTGGCCTGTAAGTGGATCATGGTTTGGGATGTATGTAAACACTGTCAATTATTGATGACTCCTGGCTCTTTCTGTGGCTGCTTTTAAATGCAATGGATGGAAATGAAAACATTCTGTGTATGCAACTGAAATTGGCGTTGTTAGGTGTGAACCAAGTCTGTCTCACAGTCCCTGAACCGCATTATTTTCCCTTGGACCCAGCCCTTTCTCCGGTGCTAAAGACCTAAATGAACTAGTCTAGATTTCCTCAGGTTCAGGATCTCCGATCTCACTGGGGCTCCTTTTCAGTTTAAAAGGAATTATTTGTTTCTGTCAAAATTGTATATATTCAGAGACTAAGCGTAAGTCTAGGTGTCTAGTTTACAAAAAACACTAGATGAATCTTATACAGTGCTATGGGATATTTTCTCCACTGTAAGTCACTTGTGTAATGGGTTTATTGGAGTGAAACAGTTAATCTCCTTGAAGTATTTTTGTATCCATTTGTCATTCTTTGCCAGCAATATTTCCAGTCTGGTTGACTTTCAACACCCACTTCACTAAATGTCAGCCATAAAGTAGCTATCAATGCTATCAATGCTATCTATCACCTGTAGACGTCCAGCCCTAAGAAAGTTTAAAGTGAGTCTCTTGTGTACAGTCTGTTTTAGTATCGACTGACCCCGATGACACTAAGCAGATTATCTGCTATATCTACACTAAAGCACACTTTCCTGTGTATGTGTTTGCCAGTTTCTGGTCCTAATGATACCAGCACACCCAGCCGAGGGACCAGTTCAAAAGTTTGATGTCATCAATGATCATGGAATCTGCTGACTTAAAGCAATGTCTTCATCGGCCGATAAACTTCAACATAAAGAACTTTAGTCATTGAAATTATTTGTATAATAACCTAGAGTAGAAACTCCAGCTATATTTCTCAGATCCTTTTTTTTTGCCACGAGATTGTTATCCAAACTGTGAACTTTTTACATTTAAAATTATGGAATCATACGAAAATATCTTTGTCATTTTTCATAGCATTTTGTTTTTTAGTATGACAAAGAATTCAACATTTTCAAATTTATGTTTTTGGGGAGAACAGGGTTTGTCTCAAAACTTAGGGTTTTTTATCCAACATTGGACTTTTGAGCTGGTCCCTTAGGCAACATTACTGTCCCTTGTAGAGACTGTGTTTTGATATTGGTATTTCACTTTGCAAACCAGTACCATTGACCCGGTCTCTTCTGTGTTTTATGGATTAGTGCTAAGCTATCTACATTAAGATGGACTAAACCTTGTGTGAGTGATGCTCTATGATAAACACAGGGATCTGACTGATCAGTTGAACTTGGGGGTTAAAATGTGTCAAGGTCGCCTTTGTGATGTTGATGTAGACAGTGTGTGTCATCTCTAGAGGCTGACATGAAATATGGCATTCAGTTTGTGGAAATGTGGATGCCGTTGGAACTACCGCATTGGGACTGACTGAAAATGTAGATGAATATTATAGCCAGTTTATTGTCTGGTATTGAGAACTGAATTAAACTCGGTACTGAAAGGTTTGGTAAAAATGACCAGTTTGTGGAATTGAAAGAACTTCATTTCAGGATTTGGTTTTAGGCAAATATTCTTCTTCCAGTAATGTTATATGGAACTTAAAAGTATTGAATGATGAAAAGAAATTGCCCTTGGTGGAACCTATGGTTGGTGAAGTTTGTAGTTATTAACTAAATGTACAAAAGTCAGTAAATTGCATGGCGAAGGGCACACTTCTTCAGATACCAACTATTCATCACCTTAAGTATTCGTTTTTGATGGACATAAACTTTTTGTTCCATGACTGAGGTATTTTTGTCTGAAAAGTGTTGACTCTGTGTTTCAAATGAGGGTCCTTGGTCCTTTGAGGATTTTTCCGATATGATTTGAATCACTATACCCCTAAATATTTAGTTTTCAACATCAGACCAGTGACAAGGACCACTAGAATTATCATGAAAGAAGGTGTCTTGCCATGTGTTTTTTTTCAGTATGGTGAGTGAGTTTAGTTTTGAACCGCACTTAGCAATAGTCCAGCTATATGGCGGTGTTTGTTTCAGTAGGAGTATTTTGGCTGAAGACACACTGATTGTTATAGGAGTACAAGGAGGTGATGTTGTCAGGTTGAACAAGGTTGATGGAGTGTTACAGGGCTTAGTGACCCGTGAAGGTCCGGGTTAGAATGAACCTTTAGTAACCCATGCTTGTCGTAAGAGGCGAATAACAGGATTGGGTGGTCAGACTCGCTGGCTTGGTTCCCAATTGCTCAGGTCGATGCTCATGCTGTTGATCACTGGATTGTCTGGTCCAGACTCGATTATTTACAGACTGCTGCCATATAGCTGGAATATTGCTGAGTGCGGCGTAAAACTAAACTCACTCACTCACTCACTACAGGGCTCTCTGTGTGTGTGTGTGTGTGTGTGTGTGTGTGTGTGTGTGTCACACTGGGTTTCCATTACACTGTGGTGTTGAGGGCTGTGATCCAAAGTGAACCCACACATGCCAACTAGCATTGTCAGGTTTGTGTTTCAATTATCATACAAGTGAACCCACTTGAACATTTCAGGTTTATGTTTCATTATTGTAAACTGAACACAGTCGTAGATCGCCTGTACAGTGTAGATTAGATTAGGGCAGGATGAGCCAAATGTCGAGACCTCGGATTTGAGGGTTTATTTAAAGTTGCGGTTCAATTTGCAGTTAGCTTGAACTGATCCGTGGTATAGCCTGTACTGTGTATATTGGATGTGGGCAGGTTGAGCCAGATGTCAAAACCTCACTTTTGAGGGTTAGATCTTCATGAGGAGTGAGGGTTGCAATGATAAGACAGCTGCACATCTGAGTAGAGGAACCCTGGGCAGGAGAATCCTCCTCCAGCAGATGTCGACAGTTGCAGTTGGGTGATGATGGGCAACATGGCTGCCCTGACATCTGCACTGATACCGAGTCTTTGATGACTTTATCTGTGGTTTTAATTTGGGGGTGATTGGGGAGAAATGTCTTAAACCGTTGCCTCTTGGGAGAGATTGGTTTTGTACAGGTGGTTTTGGTGGTTTTTTGATGAGGGGTCACCTTGATGTTTATGGAGTTAATGAGAAAGGCGGGTATCCTTACAGTGAATGAAGTCAAGGAGGACCTTGGCCTCATTAAATCTTTGCACTAGATCTGTCATAACTTCCATGCTTATGCATAGACACGTGATAGTCACAGCAATAAGATGGCTGTGTGACTTGACTGAGGCCTTGGGGGTGTTCAGTAGGTGTGTCATACTGCCTCCATGGTGTAGTGGTTAGAACGTCCGACCGGAGAGCGGAAGGTCGTGGCTTCGATCCCCGGTCGCATCATACAAAAAATCACTTCACTGTCAACATTAAGTTTATGAAGGTCCACATGATTTGTATGTTTAAATTCATAGACTGACAAGCTTCTGTTAAAGATAAGATATTTATTGCATAGCATTCCATGAAGAAACAGTGGCAATATTCTATAAGCTACAAATATTTACACAGTAGGTACAAGAAATATAGATACATTTCACACATAAATGATGTACATTATAACAATTTTTTTAGAAATCATGTGGTATAATGACATGGAAATAATATATAAGGAGACTATGGTAAGATATAACATTCATTTAAAGTTGTAAAGATGGTGACATATTTTGGAAATTAATTCAGGACTTCTGTTCGTGAAAATTATTAAGAATTGTTCTTTTTTTGAGAGTGTAGTAAATTCTTGGTCATAATATAGCATTGTGTGTATAAGTGATTCCCTTTCTTCGCTATACTTGGTACATGATATTATATGGTGTTGCTCATCGCCTAAGACACTGCACATTTCACAGAGACGTTGTTCTAAAGGGGTTGCAGGTTTTGTATATCTTCCAGTTTCAATTTTGAGTTTATGATTACTTAAACGTAGTTTTGAAAAATGTGATCGATGAGCTTTGTTTTTACAATGAAATAGGTAATTTTCGAAGTTTTATAGATGACTTGACCAATCTGTATGTTCTTAATTTGTTATTTGAAGTAGGGGAATCACTTAGTGAATGCTTGAACATGTCTTCACATTTTGACTGGAGTATATTCATGGTAGATAGATTACATTTATTCGTGTTCGCTATTTCAAAAGTTTGCTTTATTTTATTAAGTTTATGAACCCAGCCTATATTGTGATCACAGAGACTGATATTTGCTTCCATGGCATCTTTAAGGATGATATTTGTTGTATTATCTATATGGAACTTGTAATCAATTATCTTTTGATGATTGGTACTAGTAATGGGTACACACCTAGTTCTGCACCCACAGGCCCAGTTATGTGTTTTCTTGCCTACTCCTAGCAATGATTTACAAAACTGAAGCTGTAGTTTTTCTGGGAGCAGTGTGTCAATATTTTTAACATTGTAAAATCTACACCCCAGACTTCACAATTGTACAACATTATTGGTTCTATGAGGGTTTTAAATAGTTTTATTGCTAGTTTTACTGGAATATCATCATGAAAGACTGATGTTTTTAGTCTATGATAAGCACCTGTGGCTTTCTTTTCAGGAGTGCTTGAATACAACTTTGAACTTTCCATTTTCATGTAGTTGTATTCCAAGATATGTGTACCTGTCAGCTGTAGCTATCGCTTTGCCTTGTGCTGACCATTTACAGTTATTGTTGCATTTATTGTTCTTTCCAAAGATAACTACTTTGGATTTTTCATGGTTAATTTGCAGATTATTTATGGTGCAATATCGTGATACATTGTTCAATAGCGCTTGCAATTTAAGGTGAATCTGATAATAACACGAGATCATCAGCAAATAATAAATGACATATTTGAATATTATTCAGTTTTACTCCTAGTATTTCTGGTTGTAGATATTTTGCATATCGCTTATAAATATATTAAAGAGTGTTGGTGATAATGTACATCCTTGTCGAACACCAGTGTTTGAAACAAATGGCATAGACAACCCTTGTGATGTTTTTAGCTGGTATTTCACATTTGAGTACAGGGAGTATATGGATTGTAACAGGTTACCATCAATACCATGCATATTTAGTTTATTGAGCAACAGATTCCTGTCAACTGTGTCAAAGGCTTTTTTAAATCGATAAAGCAAGCATAGATATTCTTGGCGCTTTACGCTTATATTTATCAATTAGAGTTTTTAGAACAAAGATATTGTCTGAAGTTCTAAAGCCCTTTGAAAACCAGATTGGCATGGATCTAAGAGGTTGTTTTCTTCTAGATGCTTGATGAGTCTGTTATTTAGGATTTTGCAGTACAACTTACCCAGGCTGTTGCTAATGGCAATACCTCTGTAGTTATTTGGATCAGTTTTGTCTCCTTTTTTATGAAGTGGTGTTATGACTGATGTTGCCCATATGCTTGGAAAGTGACCTGATTTAAACACGTCATTGAACAGTTTGCAGAAGTGATCTATTATTACAGGACTGATTGATTTCAGGAATTCATTACTAATATTGTCAAGGCCTGTGCATTTGTTGCATTTAAGTTCATTTATGCAAGTCTTGACCTCATTTGCACTGATTTCTGCATTTAAGGGATTGTTGTTATGCTTAGTACATTTTTTGTGACCTATGGTATTTGGGGCCGATTCTAAATTATAAAGCGTGGTGAAATGATTTAGTAGATCTGACGGGTTTGGTTCCACTTGTCCTGTCTGCATATTGTTATTTTTATGTTATTTAATTCTTGCCAAAAGATTTGGGATTAGAGTCGGAGAGTTTTGAGAGTTTATCAAAGTTATTTTTCTAAAAAATGCTGTTTCTTGGATGAGTTTTTATATACTTTTTGGCATGAAGTGCATTTAATTTTGATTGGACTTCAGGTTTCTTGTTAAAGTCTGTATATCGTGTTTCCATTGAATGTTTTGCTTGCTTACATTCGCTATCAAACCATGCATTTTTCTATGGTGGACTTTAGATCTGCATTGTTTAGTACAAGATTCATTAATAGAGGTCATGAGATGTGAGAATGTATTTACATATTCTTCACACTGTGTCTCAGATGTGGGTGGTGCGATAAGCATGAAACAGTCTAGGAATTTTGAATAGTGGGATTATGTAGAGTCTCTTGAAGGTTGGCATAACTTAAATCATACCACTTGCTATGCTTCCTGGGTGTTTTTTGGAATTTGTGATTATTTTTTTATAATTTTATTATCAAGATATTCATAACTGTCCATGCAATCAAGTTTTAGCGATAGCTGACAATGGTCAGATAGCCAACATAGTGGTTTAACATTGAAATATGATATTTTGGGATATAGCAGTTCAGAGACTAAAACATAATCAACAACACTCTGACCATTATATGTGTGGCATGTAAATTGGCCTAGAACATCTCCTGTTGTCCTTCCATTTAAAATGGTTAACTTGCAGTTTGTGGTTAATCCAATAAGTGATTCTCCAAAGCAGTTTGTGCACTGGTCTAAACTTTTCTTGGTGTGACACAGTTAGACACAATTTCACTAGGAAATGCTATATACTTGGAACAGTCATCAGGTATGAAGTCATCAGTCATGCCAGTACGAGCATTGAAGTCTCCTCCTATGACAGTGTCTCCCAATGTGGAATATTTCACTATTTCCTCAGTAAGGGTGTCAAATGGATTAGTATCTATTTTGGACCAGAGAGATGATCCTTCCGGAGGAATGTATACCACACATAGATATATATCAATGCTCAGATTTTGTGATAGCTTTGTCAAGTTTAATCCAAAGTGAAAACACACTGCTTGATATTGGCTTTATGAATTGTTTCAGTTCTTGTTTGTAGAGGAATGCTATTCCTCCTCTGCTACATCCAATTTGTTTTTGTCTTGACACACTCAGTGAATTGTATCCAGACAAGTTAAAGGGAGTGTCCTGTTCCCATGTTTCGCACAGGCCGATCAAGTCATATTGTCTGAGACATTTCTCTATGGCGTGGTATTTGGAGTCACTAACCCCTTGTACATTCCAATATGAAATATTGATACTGGCTGATATAACCATAATCATGTATTATGGAGCACAAACAAAGCACAAATTTGAAAGAAGAAAAACAAATGTAAACCAAACACAAATACTGCATCGTACTGTAGTTGTTACTTTGATGTCCAGTAGGTACATTCCATCCTAGTGACTGGGGATGTGCCATTGCTTGGGGATATAGTTGTGGATCATCATTTGTTGGGCTAGGAGGTGTATTCAGTCTGATGCATTGAGGGTGTTGACCATTGGGGGGATAAGCTTGAGGGCCACCTGTTGTGAAAGATGTCCTGCTATTAGGTCTTCTGGTCTGCTGGGGTGAGTGATGGTTGACAGTGGCAGGAGAAGGGGTCATGCCAGGGCACTTATGATTATAATCAGTGATCTCTGGATGTTGTCTAGCTGGTGCTTTTTGGGAGACAAGGTAATTAAGTTGACGGGATTGAGGCAGTGGTGGAAGTCTTCATTTGGCTTGTGTTTCTGTGATTGTCCTGCCAATTGTTTCCTAAAAGATTGCGCTAATATGTCACATTTATATTTGCTGGGATGAACCTTGTCGTGATACATTGCTTTTCTCGGGAACCAGAGGATGTGATGAAAAGGTCCGAATGGTCAATAGTTTTGATTGTTGTTCCTCTGTGCGCAATGTCTTCAATGATGCGGTTCCCTTGCATATACTGTTGAATAGCATACCTCTTGTAGCACTGGGTATGATTAGTGATAGGTGAACAGTGGCTTTGGGGAATTTAGTGGCATGTCTTCACCAAATCCCTATACTGGCATTCTTCAAGTGTATATTTTGGAGCACTCCGACAATCATTTACACCCACATGTAGAACAACTGTCTCAATGTTGGGTTGTGAGATTGAATGGGTCAAGATATCATTGAGTTTGTTTGTAGTTGCTCCAGGGAAACATAGTACTTTTGTTTGGAAGTCAGACAAGTATCTTGGTAGGAATCGCGAGAGTAGAATCACCAATGTATAGAGTTTTGAAATTAGGCTGGAGTCTTGGAATGCTGTGTTCATCCTTTTTCAGATCAATATTTATCTGATTCTTTGACGATTTTGGTGTTGATCTCTGTCTTCGATCTTTGAGGAAGCATTCCTCTTTGGTCAGTTTGCATGACCTTGGGTTCATCTGGTGAAGCATTCCTCTTTTGGTCAGTTTGTGCGACCTTGGGTTCCTCTGGCGGTTGGTAATCTGAAGTCGGATTAGATTTCTTGCTTTTTGGGGTCACAGTTTGCCATTTCTCTGTGTATGTCTTCTGAGGGTCATGGTTTTGGTCCTTAGGGGAGGGGTGGCTCCCCCCACCAACTATTTCTGTCATCAGAGTATCCATGGAGTGTTCAACATTTGTAATCCGAGTTGACAAGGTGGAGATAGCAGCATTCAAGTCAATACATGGGTCAGTTTCTGTAGTTTCAGCGTTGTTTCTTGGGCTAGATATAGTGAGTCCCTCTAGTTTTTCTTCAAGCGTTGTCATCCGATAGCTGAGTTTTCCCAAAGAGTCTGATAAATGTTTATGCTTCTTTGCAGTTGTCATTTTTTCATTGTGTAGATTTAAGATATCGTTCTCCATTTTTTCTAATCGTTGAATGATCTCTTCTTGGAACACTGAAAATTGGTTGTTTGAAGCTTTGTGATTATTGGCACATTGAACTGAATGGTCTTTATGGTCCTGTTCAGTTGACAGCATATGTTGGTCCAGCTTTGATTCATAAACTGAGAAGGAGTCTTTGAGGGATCGAACAGTTTGTAGGAAGTTGTAAGTACTACCAATGTTTTCACTGTTGGGGCTCTTAGTTAGGTACTGTTTTCTGGATGGGGTAGTCTTCTTTCCCTTGTGGGTGGCAGTGTCACTGAGATCATTGTCACTGTCTGTGTCACTTATTACATTGTAGTCGTTATGTTTTAACTCTTTCATCTTCAGCTTCCATAAGGACAGGTATATCTTCAAGTTCACCTTTTTGAATTCTGGCTACCAAGGAAGCAAGTTTGGGGACTTCTTGTGCATACCATATTTTGGCTCCTTGTCCTTGGAATTGCAATCTGTTAGATGTTCTATATACATGAAGAGTACCTAACTTTTTGAATTTGTCTTTCTGGCTTGGAGAGAAAGATATTTCTATTTTCTCTTCACATATGGCACCAGTGGAATCTCGTTGTTCCGTCCATTTTGTTTTAACTGAATCATCACTTTCACTCTGTATCCAGTATTGATAGAATATTGCTTTTCTGTATGTTTCAAATACACCTGACTTCAACACAACATTGCAGCATCTGCCATTGTTTTTCCATGCTAAATCACACAGAGAGGATTTATTGTCAGGGTCATCTTCATTTTTCTCTTTCTTCCTTAACGCTTTCTTTCTGTCTAAGGTATAATTGTTCACCACTGTCTGTATCATGGGTATAGGGTTGCAGTCAGTGCCTCCTGCTTCTCCCAGGGCAGAGCTTTCATGCTGGGCGGCCATTTTGGCCTTCCTGGGGCTGACCTACCACATGCTGGAATTCTTGGTAGTGGCTTCACATGTATATTACATTCTTGTATTAGTCCATTGTAGAAGAAATGGAATCACAAGGTCTCTTTCCCTCTTGGCTTGTAGTACATATATGTATTTTCTTCAGGGTTTTGCTGTTACTAGTAGTTCTTCAGGAGCAGTATTGAAGCATGTCATGCATGATTTCAACCACCTTAGGGTGGCACCATATTTTCGGTTTCCAGTGTATCATTGGGGATAACTTGAGTAAACAGGTGATCAATACTCTGTCTGCTAGTCAGCATGTGCCTGTGTCTGAGCCAGGTCTAGACTGTACATTTAGTGCCCTGTGTGGAAGTGAGATGAAAGTCTCTTTATATGAGATTAACCAGGAATATGGTGTCTGTTCTCCAGGGGAGCAGCTACTTGTTGCTAAATTGAATTAGCACGATAGCTGTCACTCTTGTGTGTCCAGCCAGTGAGAGGTGTGTGGATAGTCAGGCTTCCAGCTTGTGAATATGGGAGCAGATTCTACCAGAACATTTTCAGTTATTGTAATGACTCATGTCAATTCTGTTATAATTATATGGATGTTTGAATAGTATGCTGTTATGAATCTGTTGAATGGCTTGTTGTGGGGTTGGTGAATGGTTGTTATGATGCTGTTGAATGGTTGTTGTGAATCTGTTGAATGGTTGTTGTGGAGGTGGTGAATGGTTGTTATGATGCTGTTGAATGGTTGTTGTGAATCTGTTGAATGTTTGTTGTGGAGTTGGTGAATGGTTGTTATGATGCTGTGGAATGGTTGTTGTGAATCTGTTGAATGTTTGTTGTGGAGTTGGTGAATGGTTGTTATGATGCTGTTGAATGGTTGTTGTGAATCTGTTGAATGTTTGTTGTGGAGTTGGTGAATGGTTGTTATGATGCTGTTGAATGGTTGTTGTGGAGTTGGTGAATGTTTGTTATGTAGCTGTTGAATGTTTGTTGTGGAGTTGGTGAATGGTTGTTATGATGCTGTTGAATGTTTGTTGTGGAGTTGGTGAATGGTTGTTATGATGCTGTTGAATGGTTGTTGTGGAGTTGGTGAATGTTTGTTATGTAGCTGTTGAATGTTTGTTGTGGAGATGGTGAATGGTTGTTATGATGCTGTTGAATGGTTGTTGTGGATGTGGTGAATGGTTGTTATGATGCTGTTGAATGGTTGTTATGATACTGTGGAATTGTATTTGTTGTTAAAGGTGACTTAATTAGGTCATGTGGTCAGACTACATGTCCTTGCTTGGGGATGGGGTGTCACCACAGTTAGTGACCTTGACCTTGACCTTACTTGGACTTAATTGACTTCATATCTTAGTACCCCAGTGGCCTTAGGTATTGTTCAACACATCACCCCCCTGGTGTTTCCGATCCATTTGTTATATACAGGTTGAAGCCCTGCAGTGAACTCATGCTGAGTAAAGCATAAAATAAGCACAAAAACAAAACCATTGCCCATATTGTAGCACCCCATCCTGTTCTGAAGATTTCAGTGATGAATGATGATGGTCTGTGAACAGTTCTTGCCCCAAGTCCCTGAAGCAGTGGAGTTTCAGTCCTCCAACAATCAGCAAACTTTAACTAAGCCGAGTGAGCGATCGTCAGAATTGTTGGCAACAAATTTGAGTGTGATACAAGTACCAGTCCGAGACCTGAGTGTCCAATGTACAGGGAAATTACTGACTACTCAGCACTTCTTGCTCAGTCTGGGAAAAGCTCGGTATTGATTCTGCAATGAGGTGTGTGATGTGGCCTTCCTCAGGCCTGGCCCACCACGTTTGCAGGCACGAAGTACTCCAGCCGTTGTTCCGGGAACTGCAGAGGTGCTTCTGGTTTTAAAACTTAATGGTGATCCTACTTATCCCTGATTGAACATTGACCTGCCTGGGAGAGATTTCATTAGTTTTAATGAGCTGGAAATGTTCCCTGCGTCTGATCCAGGAGCGAGATTCCTCCAAGCCACCATAGACCTTTGGATGGTGGATCCATAGTACTGTATACTCTTTCAGAAATTGATCCACTGGCTTCGACTTCAACCGCTTCTTTCCCTGTGGTGTCTTTGTGAAGTGCAAGTACAGGAAAGTGTCATGACAAAAGAACCTTTATTGGTCAGGACAGGTTACACTGAGGCCTGCTTAGTCTTGGAAACATGTTTCAGGATAGCTAGTGTTCAAAATGTATATACACAGTGAACTTTACTCATTTATTAATGGTCATTATGCTCATGCTATCAAGCACTAGATTGCCTGTTTGGACACATTTACAGTTTGGAATCTCGCTCGCTCACCCACTCATTGGATTGTCTGGTCTAGACTCAGTTATTTACAGACCGCCATCATTAAACAAGAACCTAACACACTCACTCACTCACTCTCTCTCTCTCTCTCTCTCTCTCTCTCTCTCTCTCTCTCTCTCTCTCTTTTTTCTCTCTCTTTCTTCTCTCTCTCTCTCTCTCTCACTCTTGGAGCGGGGGGTAGCCTAGTGGTTAAAGCGTTGTCTCGTCACGCCGAGGACCCGGGTTCGAATCCCCACATGGGTACAATGTGTGAAGCCCATTTCTGGTGTCCCCAGCTGTGATATTGTTTGAATATTGCTAAAAAGCAGCGTAAAACCATACTCACTCACTCACTCTTTCTTTCTTTCCCTCCTCCCCCCCCCGACAATGCTGGACAGGGCAAGATGATTATTTTATCCTTGGCTGTGTCACACCAAAACATGTTGTTGCCCTGCCTGGTGCTTAGGACTCCAGGAGTTAAAACAAAGGCTGATACCTGAGTGGGATCCATGTTAAACATCCTGCTGTGCTGTCCAGAGTAAAAAATGATTTAACCTGACTCAAGTTTCCATTTTATGGCTAGAGTTACTTCCTGATCACTCAACCTGACACTGAATACAGTTGTGTTTTCTCCTGTCTATCATCTGGAAACATTGCTCTAGTCTCTCGTTCCCTGCACATGAAGCAGGAGTCGCTCGCTTACATGCGTGTTGACATAACAAACACCATTAATAGGCTCGTCTTGTAATCTAATCCTTCAGCATGTCTAATGGATGCTAGACAAATAAATTCTGATTCATTTCACAGCATCGCTCCTCCAAAAATTATCAAGGGATTTCAAATGACCAATTTAGATGTATTTTAGATGTTTTTGTATGTGAGTCAGTAAAGTTACTCTCTGCTGAGCTGTTTGTGGTGAACATGGGTGGGGCCCTGAAGCTTGAAGCAAGCATTTCCCTTGAGAAGGAATGGACTGGTTAGAAGTGAGGGAACTTGATAGTTCTACAGCTGATTAACTTGTGATGTACATCATCCCCATGCTTGCCCAACATGCTGACCCAACACCCTCATCCAATACCCCAACCCTCACCTTCATCTTCATCCTCACCCTCTCCCTCTCCATACACCCTCACCCAACATTGTCACCCTTACCAAACATGCTGACCTCACACCCTCATCCAATACCCCAACCCTCACCTTCATTCTCACCGATCATCCTCATCCTCTCCCATCACCCTCATCATGCTAACCTAGCAGCCTCACCCAGGACCCATACCACACTCAGCACTCTCACCCAGTACTCCCACCCTCAGTCTCAATCTCATCCTCACCCCTCACCCCACACTCACATAGAGCAGTGAAGTGAAGTCAGTTTTCACCATAGTCTGAAGAATTAATTATGTTTTCAGGAAAAAAATGTTAAATAGTTCCCTTTCCTTTTTTCTGTGTAATATAATTCCACTGATAATAATAATGGTTATCGCATGAA